ATTTTCCTTTTCAAGGGGCAACCGTTTGGAAAGATCAGTTTAACGAGCTTACTAGGGTTAATCTCAAGCTCGAGCTAGTTAAATATACGAGCCTGAGCTCGTTTAATTTACAAGCTCAACTATAGGCTCGAAATTTGAACTTGTGGCTAGGGCTCAAACTTATAGCTTGATAAGCATGACTCGTGAGCTCCTTAACAAATCGAGCTCAAGTATAGGCTCGAGCTCAGACATGGCCCGAGCATAAATTTATGGCTCGATAAACTTGACTTATGAGCTCGTTAATAAGTAGAGCTTGAACTAGCTCAATTCACTCACACCTCTAAAATCTGCGAAAGAAAACACTATTTCTCTTGCTTTCTCTTTCAATCAAAATTACTAAAAGAAAGAAAAAAAAATCTCCTGCAAGAGCTGATGATAGTTTTTCTAATGTACATTGACATGCATGCATGAGGCTATTCGTTATTAGTCAGAGATTATTTTCCACCTTTTACCGTTCAAAGTTTTAGGCTAAATAGATCAAAACAAATCATTAAATAAATCAAAGGTCATTATTTGACCAAATTATGATCTGTCCTAACACCTAATCTTATTAATTAAATGAAAATTTTCAACTTTGAAGGTTTTTATTTCCCACGACGACACACATTAGACTATGGATTTCAATAATAGGGAGTAAATAAACAAAAATGAATTATCATTGGAAGAGATGGCCAAACTCCAACCATTTCTTGATGAAAGCTGTTGAATTATTATTATTATTTTTAGTATGGGCTACTTTAGTTAATAATTTAATTTAATGGATTTAAAATTTGGTTATATTTCTTAAGCTTATTTATAGGGGTGTTAATAAATAACATTATCAGAAAACCCAACTCAAGTCCAATCTAATATTTTTTGGGTTTGGATCAACCCGTTTAATAAATGAACTAGTATGAGTTCAATTTCTCCACCTATTTCCTTATAAGGTTAGGTTCATGTCGATTCGTCAACTGCAGTGTTCTGACTCATATTGATGGGTGTGTTTGATATATCATTAATTTGACATGTTTCTTTGATATATCAATGTTAACTAAAAACTAATTGATTAAGATTTGTTAATTAGTTTTGTTGGAAAGACTCAATTAATATTTTTCATAATTTTTGTATTGTCTATTTTGTTAAAATTTTTATTTTTTAAATATAAACAGGCCGGGTTAGTGGGTTGAGTAGGATCAAATAAGTTGTTGGTAAGTCGGGTTCATGTCTAGGTTTTGACTAGTTTAACAAATGGTTCGGATTCAAGTAGGACAGGTTTTGACACCCTTGCTTATTCATGTCATCTCATATTAGTCTTTAATTAATGTTTCATTAAGTCCAAAATGGCATATTTTTCTTCCCCTCAAGGAAAAAAACAAAGAACCATTTCATACATAGGATTATTATCTTATGCTTATTGGATTAAATGTTCAAAGTTTATGTATTATTTAAATTATTTCCGTTTACTAAAGTTGGTCCCATTTTAAAGCTTGACCACTCTCTCCATCCCTTCTCATGGTGACATGGCTGGTGCATCCTCTTGCTAACCATCATGCACGCCCACATCTAAACTTTGGCTTGTTGAGTGGAACCCTCGAACACAAAATTAAGCAAATAAAAATAATTTAATTAAGGAAAAATTATTATGTGCGAAGACCGGATGCGAAAAAGGACGTTTCCGTCTGATTTTTATACGACGGTAATTTATGCGTCGGTAAAAACTTTCCGACGTATATAATACACTAGAAACCTTTCTGGAGTACGTTCCGGCGCACAACCGGCGGAAAAGTATATGGTAGTTACGTCGCTTTATTCTATTTGTTTACATATTATGACGCGTTTAACGTCGGATAATACGTCGGAGAAATACTGGCAAATATTACGCTGGTAATTACGTCGTAATTTTACTGTCGCATAAAACGTCAGTAAAATGCTGTAAGTTCCTGTGTATATATTTCCGCCGGAAGCTCCAACGGTAATCAATGGTTTTCTTGTAGTGTTAGATGATGCCTGCGCAAAATAATTAATCTCGTTTGAAACTGATCTTTTGAGACTTTTTTTTTGTTCCTTTCTGAAGCTAGCAGCTTTCTATAAAAAAAAAATCTAGTTAAAAAAAATCAACTAAAAAATTACTTTAGAAGGCAACAAAAAAGCTGTCCCAAACTAACCATGCAGCTCGTACGACGATGTGGGTAATCACCTAAAGTCCCATTTTGGCATTCGCGGTGCACCAAAAAACTACATATACACGCATTTATTAGCGTGATAAGATGGGAATCTGGTGTGGCATCTACGGCGAGACGGGGTTACTTATAAGTACCCTCGAGCAGGAGAAAGTCAAATGTCTTGTAAAACAGGTACCTTTAATGACCCTTTTTTAAAGTTTATTTAATTTTCTTTCATTTATTAATTTTATTAATCTATTTTTTTAATTAGTAGAATTAGGTAGACTACGATCACTTAAACTTATTGAGTCAAATTAGCCTTTCTACTTTCTATAGTCCCTATTGATGAGCATGATACAAACGGCGCGACGTCTAGGAATGATGTGTGGGTCAATAAGTAAATCTAAGTTCGAGCCCGATCCTTCTATGTGACGGGATATAAGTCGACACGGTTTGAACCATTCAACAGATATACAGTCGCAATATTGACTGGGATATTTGTTTAATACGTTCATATTAGGCCTTCAATGCCCTTGATAAGAAAGATTCATCGATAAAAACATACATTCGACAATGGAATCAATCTTCTGTCGACCAGTAGCTAGAGTCAACAAGATCCAATCAATGAAATAGAAATATTCATAAGCTACCCTGATGATGATCATGTTGAGCGTAGATCTCAACCGGAAGAGTTAATTCCAAGCATTCAATCAAATGCTTCACAAAAACCCACAAAAATTCAAAAATTTAAAAATATCAAAATTTTAAATATTTAAAAATCAAAATTTAATCATCCAAACACTTAAAGCAAAACTCATCCATCCTCTGCAATAGTTTGTCGAGGTGGACAAATCTGAAAATTATTTTAGCTCATAAAGAGCTAATATCTGGTCGAGAATATCACTATGATTCATTCTCAAACAAACTTCTGCCAATAAGAACGGGACACATGTGTGACGCCCCAGGCATCTATAGTGAAAGGATTCGTCTGACAGTCTTACTTTCTTCCTCTTGGGCGACTTGCTCTCTGGACAAATTTCGTACAGACGGATCGTCCCGACCCTTCCAGGTTCGTACAGACGAAAATGACAGATTTCTTCACAAATTTCTTCAGTTCGTCCAGTACTAAATCCAGTTCGTACAGACGAACTGCACTAAAAAAATCAGCTTTTTCAAGGCACTGATCGTCCCGGACGATCTCAATATCGTCCCGGACGATCCTGGGAGGAAAATCACATCTACAGAGAAACAAATCAAAGGAACGAGCTCTCACAACATGCCCTCTAATTAGCGGTTTTGCCGCCAAATAGCTCCGCAAGTAAATGGCTATGATCGGGGCCCTCTGAATCATTTGGTTTGCCGCCAACTAGTACCACTAAATTATGGTCATATTCAAAGTCCGTAAGCTTCCCAATGACATCAAATCCTTGAGATATAAATCAATATGATATAATCGATAGGGCACAAAGCCCTCTGTTAGCTAATGTGAATTTAAATTTATCCCCTTAGATAAATAATTACCCTAAATATATAAGGTACCTTTGGACGAAGCAACCCATGGTTGTTGACAACGATCTCTCTGTTAGGTTGGGTTTACTACCTCTTCTAACTAAGTAGGCCAGGGGCCACAATGGTTAGGGACGACGAAATCATGGGATCTTGATCGGGTCCATCATACATTCCCCCACCATCCATTTTAAGTGCAAGATGGTGAAATTTTTAATTTTAAATATCAACTCTTTCCAACACCCCAAACTCATGCTGCTACCATATGCCATATAATATGTAATATCTACGTATCTGATCGACGACTAGCCTTAATTGAAAGTTCTCTCTCGTTATCAGGAGGGATAATTAACTATATGGGCTTGCACATATAGGAAATCAGAATGCATATCATAAAGTCCTCACAAAATGAGGGTAAAATCTCTAGATAATGTCTTACCTACAATCCCAATATGCCTTCCCAAAATTTACCACGGAACATATCCGTTAAAATTCCCCCGAAAAACAATAGTGGCCGGGGCCAAATTTTTGGAGCTCACAAATATATAGGCAGAATATTCTTAAGAAGACATAATAATTAAAATACTTATTCTATTAAGAAGAAGAAAAAAGAAAAGTTCGGACGGCTCTTGTTAGATGTGTACCTGACTGCATTCATGAATTAAATTTGGATGCATGTGAAAGAGCCATTAATCAAGATTCAAAATAAACAATTATCTTCACATGTAATAAATATATCTTATACTTAAATAGTTAAACCATAAATTTGTATAAATGCCTCATTGATTAATACTATTTTTATCTGTAAGAATCATTATCTTATGACTTGGTTCTCTCGTTGCCGTGTAAGTGGTCACGATATTTTTTTTTATATATAAATAAAAATAACAAAGAATCAAGATGCGTGCTTGACTGGGTTACAGCTCCGGTAAGGTAAAATAATATATTATTTTCTCTCAATTAACGTTCAGCTTCAACACTTAGGCTTCGTTTGGGACGGTTTTTTTATTGCTTTCTAAAACGGAGTTTTAGTACAAAAATAAAAAATTTTGTACTAAAACTCCGTTTAAGAAAGCAGTAAAAAAGCCGTCCCAAACGAAACCTTAATAATATCTTTTTCAATCAAGAAATGTAGAATTTTGTGCAAGGAAACTTTCCAGGAAAGACTGATTCTTTGCAGGTTTAGGGAGGTTTAGATGTAGAAATCTGCGACTTCTCCCTCCTTTGGGTTGATTGGACGATCAACAGTCGTCGCCCGGCTTTGTAGACCGCTGCCCCTTCTCAAATCTACCACTTCTCTCATCGCTTCGGCTTATCCTATATAAGGAAGAAAAACCACCATACCTTCTCAACCCAGAGCGTTTGACACACAAGCAGCAGGTTAATTATAAGAAGAAGAAGAAGAAGAGGCAGAGGGAGAAAGAAAGGGTACCATTATTTAATTCATTAATTTCATAGCTTACTCACTGTCAGTGTCTGGTCAGGCCAGTCATGGCTTCTCCTTCGTCGGATGAGTTGCTCGGCACCTTCGTCCCCATTGCTGTTTATTGGATATACTCTGGCATCTATGTGATGCTCGGTGATTTGAACCAATACAGGCTTCACACAAAGGCTGAAGAAGAAACGAAGAACGTTGTATCAAAGGGAACCGTTGTGAAGGGCGTCCTCGTCCAGCAAGCTTTCCAAGTGGCCGTCTCCCTCCTCCTCTTCACGGTATGTCTGATCTTCTTAAATTAGAACTAATTAGCACCTACAACTGCTTAATTGCTTTACTAATTTTTCTTCACACACATATGACGTTGATTCAGTTCATGAGCGGTGACAGCGGCGTTCTCTTGCCTCAGCCTTCTTTTCCGGTGATCATCCTCCAGTTCGTCGTGGCCATGGTGGTGGTGGATACGTGGCAGTACTTCATGCACCGATTCATGCACATCAACAAGTTCCTGTACAAACACATCCACTCCAAACACCATAGCCTCGTAGTCCCCTACGCCTTTGGAGCCCTCTACAACCATCCACTCGAAGGGCTGATTCTCGACACAATTGGGGGAGTTCTCTCCTTTCTTATCTCAGGGATGACACCTCGAACCGCCATATTCTTCTTCTCCTTCGCCACCATCAAGACTGTCGACGACCATTGCGGTCTCTGGCTTCCCGGAAACTTGTTACATGTTTTCTTCAACAACAACAGTGCGTATCACGACATCCACCATCAGCTCTATGGCACAAAGTACAATTTTTCTCAGCCATTCTTTATCACTTGGGATAAAATACTCGGAACTCACATGCCTTACTCGCTTGAGAAGAGAAAGGAGGGAGGATTTGAGGCCCGCCCGATCAAGAAGATTGATTGATTCTTTCAAGGATTATTGAATTTGATACCTTGCCCTGTTATGTTCAATACCTCCTTTCTGATTTGTTTGCCTGTAGAGGTGTTGCAACTTGCAAGGACACCAGTATTTTGTTTTGTAAACTAGCTTAAAAAAATAAAAAAAAACTCACTACAGGCAAAAAAAATCTATATAATATATATTGTACCATTGTAATTGATTAACTAATTATATGTTATTGGAAGGAGTAAAGAAATTTTTAATTTATCGTGCCATATACACCTCACGTTGATTAGGTAAAATAGCACTGGCAATACATCACCTATGACTATATCTAGGGGTGTCAATTTTTGACACGACACGAAAATCCGATCCGGACCCGCCGGGTTGGACCCGACCCGATTTCAAAACGGGTCGGGTTCGGGTTCCAGAAATCGAACCGTTTCAAAAACGGGTCGGGTTCGGGTTGACCCGGCGGGTTGCCGGGTCAACCCGCCAACCCGTTTAATTCAAAAAATTTCGAAATCCCGCCCTCTGCCCGCTGCCCCCGCCCCCTGCCCGCTGCCCAGCGCTCGAGCTCGCGCTCGCGCTGCCGCG